ACATATATATATATATATATATATATATATTACTCACAGCACAACACTCAGGCCCCAACTCAGTCATCAATCTCTCGGGCTCACAACACTCATGCTAAGAAACCCTAATCAATGATACGAGATGTGACAATATACGATAACAAAGAGTGAGGTATGACATGTAATGATGAATCTGACTGAGTACACAACTGCAACTAAATAGATAACTCCATAGCAAAGAACGACCACTGTGGTTCCCAATAGTATTAGCATATGGCCTAAACATGATTTCTAGCATGAATCACAACTCAATTGCTCTAACACATAGAGTACAACAAAATATTCAGATAAAATAGCAACATAGTTCCAGGGAATCGACTAAATCACAATTTCTACGTTACACGCCTACACGCCCGTCACCTAGCATGCGTGACACCTCAACACAAATCACATAGCACAAAAATTCGAGGTTTCATACCTTCTGAACCAAGCTTAAAAGTGTTACTTACCTCAAACTGTGCAAAACTATACTCCAACAAGACCTTGCCTCATGAAACATCCTCCGAATGCCTCGAATATAGTCACAAACAATTCAATACAATCAACACGAGCCAAAGGAATCAATTCCATAAGAAAATACTAAGTTCTTAATCAAAAGTCAAAAAGTCAACTCAAAAGTCGGCCTCTCGGGACCACATCTCGGAATCCAACAGAAGTCACAAAATCCGGAAGCCCATTTAACCACGAGTCCAACCATACCAAACTTACCTAAATCCGACACTAAATCGTCACTCAAATCCCCAATTTAAACTCTCAAAATCCCTATCCTCAAACTCCAAAATTACACCTCAAAACCACACAATCTAAGTGAGAAAATCAATGGGGAATCATAATTATTGAGTAAAAATAACCACAAGTGACTTACATCAAGAATCCCTTCGAATCCCTCACAAAAAATTACCTAATCCCGAGCTTGAAATGTCCAACATGATGAAAAATCATGGAACCCTCAATTTTTAATACATTGCCCAGGCTTTCCGCACCTGCGACAACTTAACCGCATCTGCGGTGTCGCAGAAGCGACAATCCTTCCGCTTCTGCAGTGAAACATTGGAACCAAGCCTTCGCGCCTGCGGAAAATACTCTGCTTCTACGCAAACGCAAGTGCGACCATCTTCCCGCTCCTACACTGACCCCTCACTTATGCGCTCAACCTCTCCGCATCTGCGACCACGCAGGTGCGGACAATCCTTCGCACCTGCGACCATAACCTTCCTCACTCCTGGCCGCATCTTCACCTGCAAGCTCGCACCTGCGACCAAAGCTCTGCAGGTGCGATTGCACCAGAAGACTCCAGTTACAACACCCTTTTTAACTCCAAACTTGATCCAATAATCATCCGAACTTTACCCGAGGCCCCCGGGACCTCAACCAAATATACCAACAAGTCCTAAAACACGATACGAACTTAGTCGAGCCTTCAAATCATATCAAACAACGCTAAAACCATGGATCACGCATCGATTCAAGCCTAATGAACTTTTGAACTTCTAACTTCTATATCCGATGCCGAAACCTATCAAATCACGTCCGATTGACCTCAAATCTTGTACAGAAGTCACAAATGACACCACGGACCTACTCTAACTCCCATAACCCCAATCTGAGATCGGTAACCATAAACTTCACTCTCGGTCAAACTTTTAAATTTCCAACTTTCATCATTTCAAGCCTAATTCAACTATGGACTTCCAAATCACAATCCGGACACGCTTCTAAGTCCAAAATCACCTAACGGAGCTAACGAAACCATCAAAACTCCATTTCGGAATCATTTACATATAAGTCAACATCCGATCAACCTTTTCAACTTAAGCTTCCAACCTTGAGACTAAATGTCTCAATTCATTCCGAAACTTCTCCGGACCCGAACCAACTACCCCGGCAAGTCACATGGCAACTAATAAGCATAAAATGAGTAGTAAATGGGGGAACATAGCTACAACTCTCAAAACGACCAACCAGATCGTTACACACAGCTACTCGATGCTCTATAAAAACTTCTTCCTCTGTTTTCCATGATAAGAGAATGCCCCTGATTTTTGGGCTTCTTCCTCATCTTATCATTGATTAGGATGTATGATATGACCTCATTTAACTCGATGGTATCTCTACCATGCAGGATGGTTGTTGTCAAATTATCATAGGAAGTTGGCAACGAGTTTAGAAGCATGATAGCCTTATCTACTTCAGTGATTGTTTCTCCGAGGTTTGCCAGCTGGGTGATTAATCCGTTAAACATATTTAAATGAGAAAAGAAATTTGTACCTTCACTCATATGAATGGCATAAAGTTGATTTCTCAAAAATAACTTATTTGTTAAGGATTTGGACATGTATAGACTTTCTAGTCTTTTTCAAATACCACATGCACTATTTTCATCCCCGACATTTCATCAAACAGGTGCAGTCTGATTGTACTAGCCGCCTTCTTATCCATATTTGCATGCCCAATCCTCGGCTTTCATGGTTTCAAGCTTTGCCTCTTTTTCATGTAGTGCAATATCTAACCCTTGTTGGATGAGTAGGTCCTTCGTCCTTCTTTGCCATATGGAGAAACCGTCATTACCGTCGAATCTTGTTACTTTATATTTTACTCTTGACATCTTTGTCACAAAGTAAAATCGATCGTAAATTTTGTGAACGAGCATAACTTGTGCTTTGATACCTATTATTGGAAAAATAACCCCCCGTAGAAATAATATTCATGGTATACGACTGTAATAAATATGAATTACTAAATTTAGTAACCAACGGTAATAATAAGAGAAACAAGGACACCAAGATTTTTACATGAAAAACCCTTGTTGAATAAGGAAAAATCCACGATCCAAGAGGAGCAACTGATTTCACTATAGGAAGGATTTTACAATTTGTGGTATTGAGTAAAATACTCCAAGACCACTACACACTCAAAAAAAATAATACTCTTTTGATTTTTCACCTCACTACAAATACCACTGAAACTCTCTATATGTTTTTCTCACAGAATATTTTACTTCTTACTCTGTGAATCGTTCTCTTTCTCTCCGTTTTAGTGTGTCTCAAAACTGAAGGAGAACTTCTTTAATTATAGAGGTGAAGAACTTCTCAAAGATGTCAGTGGTGACATCAGTAATAGTAAGCTTACCAAACTTGCCTTCCTTCTTTTTTGACTTTTCCTTACTAGACAAATCTTTATTTGGCAAACTTGGATTTGGACGGTGTAGCCTTTGCCAAAGAAAAACTATTCCTTTCACATGAGAATTTATGGGATGGACCCCACAAATAAAACTCAATTGATATTGTATTTTATTATGTACTGTTTTTCGTTAAATTTGTTTGCACTAACTTTAAGAAAGACCTTAATCGCCTCATCAGAATTTGTTAATTGTCTCTCCTTACACGTCTCACTTAATCAACACTACAATATATGAAACATTAAGGGTAGATTTGAAATAATAATAATAATACAATAAACCTAGTGCAATTGCACAAGTGTGTATGGGGAGGGTATTGTGTACGCAAATCTTATCCCTACCTTGTGGAGGTAGAGAGGTTGCGGCGACGGACTCTCGACTTAGGAAAAGCATAGTCACACATAGTTGAAAAGAAATATAGTAATATGGAAGCCATGGAAAGGAAAAAAATAGTACCAAGAAGCAGTAACAACAGTATAATAATAAGATAACCGAAGCAAAATAGACAATATGTAGTAATAGAGATCTAAGTGTTGGATAATCCGCGAATAACAATGATACTACAAGTATGAAAAAGGAAAAGCTTGACTCTAATGTTTTACCCTAATTCTCGACCTCCATACTCTCCTATCAAGGGTCATGTCCTCGGTAAGCTGCAGATGTATCATGTCTGCCTTCTCACCTCTCCCCAATACTTCTTTGCATAAGTGTTTTGCATCAATCTTCCCATTAACTTGGATTATAGATTCAAGAAACTTGAAACTTCCTCTCTTAGGGATGACTCGAGTATCATGCCTCACTTCCACTTCAGCTTCATGAATCACGTCACTGAACTTGCACTTCAAGTATTTTGTCTTAGTCCCGCTCAACCTGAAATCCTTAGACTCCAGGATTTATCTCCAAACTTCAAGCCGTGTTAATACTGTATCGTGTCTCGTTAATCAGTACTATGTCATTTGCAAATAGCATGTACCGATGCACCTCCCCTTAAATGTATCGCGTTAATTCATCAATCACTAGGGCGAATAAGAACGGGCTAAGAGTTGATTCATGGTGCAACCCCATCACGATTGGGAAGTGATCTGAATCTCCTCCCACTATCCTAACCTGGGTCGTGGGTTCATCGTACATGTCCTTAATCACCCTAGTGTATGCTAAAAGTACACCTCTAACCTCCAAACATCTCCATAGGACCTCTTTTGGGACTTTGGCGTATACTTTCTCTAGGTCAATGAATACCATATGTAGTAATAGTAGTAGTAGTAGTAGTAGTAATAATAATAATAATAATAAAAAAAAAATTCTCTTTTTCCCCTTCAAACGCCAGATATTTGAAACAAAATAAGTTTGATTGTCAAAACGACTAATATTTAGGAGCCAAAGGGAGTAATGTTGAGCTAAGCCAACGCAAAAAATGCTAGCTCTTAACGTGTGATATTGTATGCTTTGAATCAAACCTTCATGATTTTCTTTTTCTTATTAATTTTTACGCGAGACTTTGTTCACATATGTAATAGAGATTGTTTAAATATTTTTACATATGTATATATGGTCTTATGTAGTGAAATCAACCCCTGTTTATGCACTCATCATAACAGGATTGTCCATATCAATACTACTTAGAAGGCTGGGAAAAAAAATATCATCTAACCTCAAAAAGGTATCTGTTTTTTATGTGTATTGGTGCTCAATATAAGTTTTCATACAAGACAAGAAAATTGAGTTAATATACAAAAGGAGGAAATGCAATCACAATGGACATTTCAAGTACTACAAGATACACTTTTCAGACAAACAAGAGGAAAGTGCAAAAAACAAGAAAAAGAAAAAGAGAAGAAAAGAAATAACAACATAAATCTAAATTGACAAAATTTGCAGAGTAATACTGAATATGTAAAAATTGGATAAATATTGATGGAGTGATCAGAAAATGTCTAGAATTTCCAATATGAAATTGTTGCAAAGTGGGCAATTACCTCCTTCAACCCAAAGTTCCCTTGAACATAACCTGCAAAATGAGTGTCCACAAGGTACAAATGCTGCACCCTTATGTCTAACCATGCAAACACAACAACTATTATTTTCTCCTCCTCCGACGTCGCCACCACCATCATCCTCATCCTCGTCCTCGTCCTCTCCCATCATATACGACGATCCCTCAGACTCTGCTAACAATGCCATCAACGACATTCTCACCGGCTCCTCTCCTCCTTTCGACGTTTCCTCCCCTTCTTCCGTACATTCTTCCTCATTTTCGTCCTCATACTCGTCCTCATTTTCAACTTCGTTGTCCGTGCCCGATCTTCTCATTGAGATTGACGGGTCGAATCGTGCACTCGCGCTTCCTCTCTGAGCTCGACTTGAATTTCTATTCAATGTTCTACTCCTGGTGCCTGGATCCATCCCTCTTCTCGATCCAGATAATGGCGAATGGCCGAATTCGTTTACTATGTCATCCGGGTACGTGGCATCTTTGGATGAAGGAAAACGAGTAGAAAGCCTACGAGACATTGTCCGATTGTTACCTTGTTGAATCGGAATGTCAGAAGCAGGAACTGGCGTTGTGGGAATCGAATCCATTTTAGGTTTTCGCCTTTTAATTCCCTGAAGTATTTGCAAATGGTCTTAGATTTGTAGAATATTCTTGTTATTGCTACACCTATTCTCTTGTCACTCAACACAATGCCTAAAAAGGGCTTGTGTAGAATTATTTTTTATTGTTGTTGTTGTTTGTTTATTTTCTTGGATTCTAAAAATCTCAAAGATTGGGAGAATTGACTAAATCGTCACTAATATTTTGGCCGCCATCAACACTTCCCGTCCACAATCAGGAACCATTGAGGAATTTCCTACAAAATGCAAATGAGATGAGAGATTTTGCATGGAATTCATAAGCGTGAGAATAGAAATTAAATACATTGCAAATTTTTCTTAGGCAGGGGCGGATCAATCTAGTGCAAGAACATTGAATGTATACGCATTTACTACCTTCGATTCGATCAATATATACATATAAAATTGAAAACTCTGAAATAATCAGATCTAATTCGTGATGAGATTTGAAATTTTGGGAATTTAAAACAGTTTTTTTTAGAAATGAGAAATCTTAAGAGAACTCAAACTAAAAATGCAAGGGAAAAAATGAAAAAAGAGAAAAGCAAGAATTGTGAATCAAAATGTTACATATGATCTATAAAATTAGGGAACATTTTCGTGCAGAAAATAACAGTCGAGATTTGCAAACAGACTTGACATTTCATTTACAAAAGGATTAGAAAGGTGTAAGAGAGCATACATGAGAAGGAATCAAATTTGTGAATCAATGAATCAAACAAAGCTAAATCAATGAAGAAAAAAGGTATTAAAGGGTAAAATACACACAATTTACAAAGAGAGAGAAGAGGAAGGAAAGTGAAACAAAAAGGTTCGTTCCCCGCCACTCTCTCTCACTCTCTCACTCACTCCCGGCCATAACATGGGTAAAAATCATATTTTCTTTTAATTTTACGTAAAAATAAACTTTCTCCACCTTTTAGTTATTATAAGTATTTTTTGACTTATCTTGATCGACGATTTTATAAAATTAATTATTATTATTATTTTGCCAACTTCATTAGATTTGTAATTTTTTAGTATTATGATTTCTTCTTCTTTTTCATATGTATTAAATCATTATGACTTTATATATCAAATTGAATGTCATTTACAATAAGAAAGTAACAAATAGTAACCAAACATTCTTGGTAATAACTTTGAGAAATAAAAAGTTATGGATAAAAAAAATATATATAAATGAACTTTTATTGCTCCTAATCAATAATTTTATTAATGGTAATTAAACTTAAGAAATTTCTATATAGAAAGTATATATATTAATAAATCTATACAAACAATTTAAAAATAGAAGATGATGATTCAAATACTGAATGTGCCTTATTCTTAAGAAATCAAATGTTAAAAATAGCGATGAATTTTGCAGTAATTAAATTCCAGAAAAAACTTCTTTATTTATAGCGTGGATGAACTTAAAATCACAAATTCACGATGTAGAATAATAGATGCCACAAATTATATATATATGAAGCATTTGAGGTAATTAAATTTAGAATAGTTTACATTAGCACAAGTCTTTAATTTATATAATGGGAAAATGGTTAAATTTGCCCATGTACTATTCAAAATTAAGCAATTTCGCCCACCATTAAATTATTAATCTAATATTACTCCCAATATTAGGAAACAATATTGTGTTTGCCCTTGACCCCTAACAGATATTTAACCTGAGGGGTAATTTTAAACTATAATCAAAAGTTGAGGAGTAAATTTGGACCTTTCTTTTTGAATTGGACATGTGGAGTCTTCCCATTTAATGTTGAAGCTGCATTAATGATAAGGTGAAATGCGAGACGATTTTCTAATATAAGATAAAATTGAGCAATTTTAAATAATACATTGGGCAAATTTGAAGTTTTTCCCTTTAATAAATGCAAGTATTACCTGAACAATCTGGCATATTTAAATATGGATTACAATATGGATTAGAATTTAATATGTATGATAACTAATCTGGCCTATATATTCACCCAATTAAGGGATTCAATGCTGCCATTTTCTAACGAAATAAGAATTGAAAATTACATGATGAGAGTTCTCCAAATATTCTTGTTGTTGCTCATTGCTACAATTTTGTCAAAAGCTGAAATAATCAGCCAAGGTATCCCAAATCCCCCAATTGGTCCAACAACTTGTCCTGTCCCTAAAAATAGTGAGGATCTCTTTCTATCAACTTGTATTAATTTTTTTCATCTCCTCCACCTTATTTTTATCAAAACGAGGTCGTTAAGACTATTCGAAAATTGGTTTTCTACTTTTAAGATTATTAGCACCAAATCTATCGGTTGGAAGTTGGAATATGATGTGTGGCTATAATTTATGGTTTAGCACATTATTTGCCTTGTATTTTTATATGTTTTAATGATAAAGTACACCTTATTTGCGTGTAATATGGTCCATTTTATGTGTAGGTGAATTGAAGATGAAAGTAGAAGAAAAAGGAGACCTACAAGTCAAAAGTGTGTGCGGGAGCATTGAATGAGAGAACCTGGCGACGCCAGGCTTGAAGCTGGCTTTAGGCTGGCATTGCAAGGCAAAGGCCAGGCTGAAGCTTGCTTTAGGCTGACGTTGCAAGGCAAAGGCCAGGCTGAAGCCGACGTTAGGCTGACGTTGCAAGGCAAAGGCTAGGCTGAAGCTGGCGTTAGGCTGGCGATACCAGGCCTAGGGCCAGGTCCAATGCGAGTTTTGAAGACTTAATTCGTTTCCGAGTTTGACTAGGACTTGGCCTACACGTTTAGGTCTTTTCCTACACATATAAATAGACCTAAAAACGCCACTTGTAGAGAGTTTTTGGCGATCGGAGGTAAGAACATCACGTGGACAACTTTTGGAGGAGAAAATCATCGAGTTCTTCATCCCTTTATCTTTTCTTTGTAGTTTGTTTATGCAAAATACTTGAAAAATTGTTACTACGATCATGAGTGGCTAAAACCCATAGTTTTGAGGTTGTGATTTAGCCATGAATATTTTTGTTTTACGTTGACTTAACCTTGATTATAATTCACTTATATATGTTGTTTCTTCAATTCTATGATTAATTGCTTAATTGTCTGGCCATCAGTTAGGTTCTATTTACTATCTATGCTATGCTTGGGAAAGTCATGTTTAGATTAGAGAAGAATTGAAGAGAGCACGATCTTAACTCTTAGGGGGGGCGGATTTGTGGTTAGGATAGGAATATACCTAGTCACCGTGCTTAATTAAATATCGTAATCTTAATGCATTTTTGATAGATTGATTCCATAGAAATATAGGCATTAATCTATTTTGAATAGGCGAGTAGTACTTCAGGAGAAGGCTATGAGAGCAATAGTTCGATTAATTAGCAACCATGAGTGAATTGTATGAAAGGGACAGTTAACTAGAACACAATAGGATTGGTGAATCGATCACAACCCTGGAATATTTGTCTCTACTGGATACACCACAATTATTTTGCTACTTGATAATTTAGTTATTAATTAGAATGATAGTTTAGTATAATCACATCCTTGTACTCGATTTTGGCTTGACTGAATAACAATCTTGGTAAATTTAGTGGGTAGTTAATACAAGTCTCTATGAGTTCGACACTCGACTTATCATTTTATTACTTGTACGACCACGTATACTTGTGTGTGCATTTGGGAACAAACAAGTTTTTGGCGCTGTTGCCGGGGACTTGAATATCGACTACTTTCTAGTTTTTACTTTAATTGTTTATTTCGTCAAGTCTAACATTACTTGATTGTTGCTCTGGTTTCAGGAACTTTGATTGAATGCGTAGGGTCAGAAGCCAGGACAGACTTCAAGGCTTTGACTCCGAACCTGAGAGAACATTTCATAGGAGGTTGAGGGAAGCAAGGGATACAAATAATCTTTAGGCACCCGTTCAATTTCCTGTGAACATGGCAGAGGAGCAACACATGGCTGTTCAGGAGGTGGCGATGCCCATCATTGCTAATGTTACCTCCAACATCGTGAAGCCCAGAATCACTGGGCACTTTGAGCTGAAATAGAGCATGATCCAGCTACTTCATGCGAATGGGAAGTTTATGGGTCTTCCACATGAGGATCCACAACAGCATATCCTGAACTTCTTGGAGATTAGTGATACTTATATCACTAACGGGGTCACTCCAGACTATGTGAGGCTCACACTTTTCACTTTCTCTCTATTGGGCAAAGCAAAGCGATGGCTAAAGGCAGAACCAGCTAATTCTATTACATCATGAAATGATTTGGCAAGGAAATGTTTTGCAAGGTTCTTCCCTTCAGGCAAAACTGCAAAGATCAGAAGTGAGATAGTCGCCTTCAAACAGAAAGGGGGGGAGTCTCTATACTTAGCTTGGGAGAGGTTCAAGGGGCTGCTCAGAGACTGTCCTTATCACAATCAAACAAATGAAGTGTTAGCTCACACTTTCGTAGAAGGGCTACATCCTGAAACAAATATTGTGGTAGATGCTACAGCTGGAGGTCAAGTGTTAGAGAAAAGCTTTGATGAGATATATGCATTATTGAACAAATTCTCCAAAAGCAATCCGGATTGGCAAGGAGAAATGGGCAGACACACGGTGCAAAAATTTGCAGGGGTTCTCGAGTTAGATGTCGTCTCGGTATTATCAGCGCAAATTTCTATACTGACCAACCAAGTCAATCAGATGACCTTGGTTATTAACAAGCAGCAAGCTCAACCAGTGCAACTGGTTCAAGTGTTTTGTGAAGTATGTGGAGAGGGTCACACGAATGACTTATGCCCAGTTAATCTAGAGTCTGTCTGCTTTGTGGGTAATGCAAATAGGGTCCAGGCGAACCAATATGGGAACAATTACAATCCCAACTAGAGGAACCACCCAAACTTCTCTTGGGGTGGAAATCAAGGTGCTCAAAATCAATACCGACCACAAGCACCTCAACAACAATATAGACCACCTCAGACTGAACAACAAGCAATCTCAACAAGTCATATTGAGGAAATGATAAAGAAATTGATGGCTGACCAGCAAACCCACACCGCAAAGATGATAAAGAAATTGATGGTTGACCAGCAGGCCCAAGCCACAACAATGAGAAATTTGGAGCGCCAAGTGGGACAACTGGCCAGTGCCCAAAATACTAGACCAGTTTGAGCTCTTGCAAGTGACACTGAAGCTAATCCTAAGGCATCCATTAATGCCGTGTCATTGAGGCATGGGAGACAATTAGAAGAAGTCCAGTCAAAAAAGAGAAAACATGTGACTTTTAATGAGAGGCCAGCCACTATAGAATCAAAATCAGAAAAATCAAAGGAGTTAGAGAAGCTAGCTGAAGAGGCGGTGGCTGAGCAACCCCCACCATTGGTTACGAGGCCACCACCTCCGTTTCCACAAAGATTGCAGAAAGTGAAGGATAATGCCGCGTATAAAAAGTTTCTTGATATTTTGAAGCAAGTGCAAATTAATATTCCATTGGTAGACATCTTGCAAGAAGTGTCCAAATATGCAAGATACATCAAGGACATAGTGGAAAATAAAAAGAGGTTAACCGAGTTCGAAACTGTGGCACTCACTGAGGAATGTAGATCAAGAATTCAAAGCAAGCTATCTATTGAAGGATCCGGGTAGTTTCACTATCCAAATCTCGATTGGTAAGCATGCAGTCGGGCGAGCCTTATATGATCTTGGAGCGAGCATCAATTTGATGCCACTATCTGTGTTTAGACAGTTGGGGTTGGGTGAACCACGCCCCAACAACGATAATCTCACAGTTGGGTGATCGCTCCCTTGCTCATCCTGAAGGAGTGATTGAAGATGTGTTAGTTCAAGTGGGTTCTTTCATATTCCCTGCTGATTTTATTA